TGGGAGCTAGCAGTCCCGGATTGTGAGAGGGATCATAGATTGGAGAGGGTGCAGGCTGGGCTGAGGGGACCCCCCCCCCCCCCGTGCACGAATTTTATGCACTGGGCCTCTAGGCTATATATCTAAAAGCCTAAGTGACTGAACAACAGTTGACCAGTCACTATGACGCGCACTGACCACCAGGAGGCAGACACTCAACGCAGGAGCTGGCCCCTGGTGATCAGTGCGCTCCCACAGCCAACCTCCCACAGTTGGGCAACCTCCTGCAGTTCCTCCCCTGGCTGGCCAGCCCCAATCGACCCTAATCGGGACTGGGCGAGATGGCCCCGATCGCTCCCAATCACTGGCCAGGCCGAGGGATCCCACCCTTGCACAAATTCGTGCACCAGGCCTCTAGTATATTATAGTAGCTTGATAGCTCTGGTGTTAGACTGTGAGAGTGAACCCCAGTTCCACCACTTAGTAGAGTGACCTTGAATAACCTGCTCTTTGTAAAGTAGAATTACTAACAGTACCAATCTTATGGTGGTACTTGTATGTAATAATTGAATTAATATCTAGAATATATGTAAAATAGCAACTGCCACTTAAAAGTATTCAATATTTTTAGTGTTATCATCATGGTAGTCATCATCATTATGATTGTTTGCATTGCAGGTGGAAAAAGAATCTGTCTTGTCAACATACACTGTGAACGACCTCTCCATGATGAAATACTACTATGAATGTGTCTTGTTTGTGGTTCGTAAACCACAATAATGGTCTCAAGTGATATCACCAGGAAAAAAGTTTAATAAGAGCAAATCCTGAAATAAACAACTCAAAAGCAACTATCAAATGACAGGACACAACCTCAAATCAGTGGTGCCTTCTTATTCCTAACAAAGTTTAGAAATAGTATCTATTTTCTTAATATGTCTATTGCTTTTTCAGAAATATACTATGCCATGAATATTTGTACTACACAAGTAAAAATGGAGGAAGTATCTTCAAGTTTACTTTTTCCTTGAAACCCAGAATTGTCTTTCAGTAGAAAAAACTTTATCTCTAATGTTTTCATGAAGCTGTCCGTTCCAAGCTGCCATGCTAATGACTAATAGTATTGAAGTAATAACCTCCTTTTTTTTTGTATGTATTGCACATGTTATTTTTAGAAGAGTCTAAGGATCCTCTCATTCATCATCTGGAATTGAGACTTTTATTCACTTGGACCTAAGCAATCTATACATAAAATGTGTGTCTTTTATTATTCTTTTATTCACATCTTTTTTTTTTCTAGCTCAGTTGAACTTAGGGAAGCATAAAACCCTTCATTTTTATGAATTACTGAACTTAAGAGTATCACTGGCCAGTAAAAATGCATTGAAATAACCAAGAAATTAGTAAGTCTTTTGGCCTCACTAAACTGAACACTTTCTGAAAGCATACTCATCATGGATCACTCTGAAATGTATGAAGATCTTAACAATCTGAGTAAAAAAATCCTTTATTAAAGGTACTGTTAGGAAACTGGGGAAATAAGAATAAAATCTGCTCATTTGAAATGATTTCAAACTATAAATGAATACAGTCTGTCAGTGAGATGTTTACAATAATGTCTTTTCTTTAGATTACCTGGATACAAAAGCAAGCACTTTTTTTCATTAAAACAACTATATACTAGTAAAAACTGTCATGATAGTATTAACATGGAGAAATTTTGAGTATGAAATTCAGGGATAAATTACTGTTCATGTCTGTGTCTTCAATATTATAAGCAGCAGCCATTAATATAATTTCAGATTAACACCAATTTTGTTCCCTGATAGCTAGGGCTGAAACAGTCTATGCTGTTTTAAATTTCTACCTCTAGCAGATCTTTATTGGAGGGAGTTTTCCTTTGTATTTTATGTTAATCATTCTGTTTCCTGTAGCTTGGAAAGTAGAAATGACAAATATAATGTTTTAACCTTTTCTTGGAGAAAAGTATGTTTGAATATTTTTATAGGTAATTGTGATGGCATTAAGCAACCTCTGTGGCAATTTGGATTAGACTTAATCTCAGTAATGTACTGGAAGCATAAATGTCATGTTTTATTAGGAAAACTTACTTGTAAGTTTACACCTTTATATGGTCATTTGGGTTGGGGGAGTCACTACATGATTTGACATCTTACCAATAGGAGCTTTTCTGCATATAGTAAGGGAGCTCTTGTGCCCTTTACGCAGTAAAGGAATACATGAAGCTAATTTGACTTGTCGATTTATGGAAGCCTATACCTATTGAGGTTTTTTGGTTGTTTTGTTTTTAATTATTTCTCTTTTTTGGTAGATGTTCTTTAGTGGGAATTCTCATTTTCTACCACATGAATAAACTTGAAGTAAATTGCTCCCCAAAATTATTATTAAGAAAGAGAATTAAAAGGAACGTAGGTATTTAAAAAATCCACTGAAAGAAATGCATGCTGTTTTTGAGTGTTTTAGAAAAGCTCTTTATTCACTGACTGGTATTCACTTTTTTATGTGTATCAAAACATGACCTTGTTCTTCTCAGAGGCAAAAACAAGTTGACACATGGGTTGGCTTTATTACTTAACACTTATGCTATTAGGTTTTATTCTTTAATAATGTTACTTATATTTATAAATTATAGCTTACATTTTAGTTAATTCTGAAATCAGTTTTGTTTTTTATTTCTCCCTCATATTATGAATATTTTTAATGTTCTACATTGCTTTTTTTTTCTCAGAGCTTTTGCAGTTGATATATTCTAAACTTGAAGATTGTGATATTAATCAGTAATGGAAATGTCACTGGAGGATTTAATTTTGTATTTCTTATATGTAGTCCTACTAAAGTGTGTAAGCCTTAAAAGTTTTTTAATTTTTCTTAAATTAGCTTTATACACAAATGTTTTCATTCATTTCCATAAAGCTGGAGGAGATAGGCCATTCTGCTTACTGGGTTTTTTTGTGTTTTCCATAATCTGACTGAAGTAGGGCAGGTTAGGGTATGTAAAGCAAGTAAGCAAAGTAGGACATGTAAAATATAAAGAGAAGCTGTATAAATCACAGTATAAAATTATGAAGTTTTGGAATTGTAAAATGTACTGTATTTATATGTAATTCTCATTCTAAAAGATGCCACAAAGGCTAAATTGGAAGCTTCATCTCTGCATGAAATTTCCTATATTTTTATGTGTATGATGGACTTGATTTTTCTTGATTAAAGTCTGCCAATTGCTATGAAACAATATTTGCTTGGTTGTTTCCATTTAAATTAGTGGTAACCATAGACATGGCAATTTTAATTAGTTGAGCACATATACTTTTGAACCCTTGGATTAGCTTCTATGTGTGTCTAGAAAGTCAATAATATGTGTAATTGGTCTTTGATTATGCTAGGCCGTATCCTAATTAATCCCAATCTTTGGTTTTGTTAAATAATCGAAAAAGACTATAAAGGAAACCAGTAGAAGAAAGTTCTAGGACCAGCCATTAGGAGGACAAGCACTGGATTTGGCCCTTAGATACTCTGAGCTCATTTTTCATAGTCTTGGGCAAGGTTATCTGAGTCTGTTTCCTCATCTGTAAGAGAGGATTAATACCATCTATTTCAGAGGGTTTTTTAATGAGGTCATGTGAGTTATATGTGAAACATTGTATGTGAACATGTGAAAGCTTATAGTAGACAATTAAGTATAATTTTAATCTGTGTTGACTGCTGTGTAGTGATAGAAAAAGACTGGTAACAGGACATTAGTTTTAATAATGTTATGGTGACCCTTTGAAAAAAGTTTCAGTGGAATCCCAGGGACATGGGAGTAATCAAAGTTGACATATATAGTTATTGATTCCAAAAGTTTGGTGGGAATTACAAAGAAATATAATAGGTAATGGGAGAGAGGACACAGGTAAAATTTAATTGAGGGTTACTCTCACTTTACAAACAAGCTAGTACATGCTTCTTACATATGCTTATTTCTCTTCAGCTATTTAGAAGTAGAGTCAGTCAGTCAATCAATGTGTATGTGCATTTCAGTCAACTTGCCTTTCAAAAAGACTACCCGTTTACATGCCATCAACAGTGCTTAAGAATAATTTAGCATCTATTCCCTGGCCGATACTGGACATTGCTAATCTTTTCACTTCTTGTCAATGTGATAGGAAAAATTGGGATCTAACTTTAATATTCATTTCTTCAACCATCGGGGAAGTTGAGCAATTTATGTAAGATTAACGGCCAAAGAGTTGTGTCTTAATCTGCCAGTCTGTTGTTTTTCACATGGCAGACGCAACAAGCCATTGGCAACAATGCAAAAATTAGTAAAAATGTAGTGAGGCTTGTCAAGGGGAGAATTAACCATGAGGACTACTTTTGAGTTCTAGCCACTGAGAAGTGCCCACCTCTGCTTTTGGTTTTACAAAGCCGGTACCGAAGCTAAACAGTGATAGCAACCCATTAGACCCCATTAGATTAGCCAATCAGTGGTCTAGGCCCAGGAGTTTAGGGGAGTATCTTTTAGTCAAGAGCCCCATTGAGCCAGCAGCTTTGCTTTAGGTGGCAGAGTGGGGCATAAAGCTTACCCCCAAAGGAGTAGTGCCCCTTTTTCATAGCACCAAAAAGCTGCTAGGGTCAGGCCCGCTATACTCTTGAATGTGCAATTTTTTGTTTTTTTCTTTTAATTAAATCTTTATTGTTGAAAGTATTACATGTGTACCCTCTCCCCACCCCCACTGACCCTTCTAGCCTGCCCCCACTCCTTGCCCCAGGCCTTCACCACCCTGTTGTCTGTTTGATTTGCAAGGCTTGTTGGCTCCTTTTCACCTTGTTAGGCATCAAGTCCAAGCTGACCCACCCCAAATGGGGATGTCAAACTAGAGTCATAAGGCCTGCACATGTCATCCATGCAGTTTCAACAAAAGCAGGTTAATAGCTACCTTCTTTGGTACAAAGATGTATTTGGTGACAGTGTCAGGGAGTTGGTGCTATTGCAGTATCTGGCCATGGCCTCTCTGAGTATTTCCGCAGCCATTAAGTCTTTGAAGCTGTGGTTTCCCTTTTTCCTTTTGGGTGTTACATTATTTCTGCTGGACCACCCAGGAGGAGACAGTCCATGCAGTAGTCCTTGAATGTGACATTCATGGGAAGGAGACGTGTATACAGATATCAACTCCATGTGCATATATATAATTGTGTATGGTGCTTTAAAAATACTTCCACAAATTCTTTGATACTCTTCTCTTTGGGACAGCCTAATTCTTCTTCCTTTTGAAGTGTAGGTGGTAGTGACTCCCTTCTAATAGACAGACTGTGGTAGAAATGTGTGATTTCTAAGACTGGGTTATAAAAGCAATGCAGCTTCTATTTTTCTCTCAGATCACATGCACTAGAGCCCAGATAAGGATATTCTAATAGCCCTATGGAGAATCCCACATGGTGAAGAACTGAGGCCTCCTCCATAAGAACTGAATGAGCTTGGAAATGGGTCTTTCAGCCCCAGGCAAGCCTTCAGATAACTAAAGCCCCAGCCAACATCTGGACTACAACCACAGGGCAACTCTGAACCAACCAGCTAAGCTGATGAATTCCTGATCCATAGATTCTAAGAAAATTTTGTTTTAGTCACTAAGTTGTGGGATAATTTGTTACACAACACTGTTCTTGTATGCATCCAAGTTTCCATCTGGCTTCATACTTGCACCTGAAGAACTTTCTTTAATATCTCTTGTATTATGGATCTTACAGCAATAAATTCTCTCAGCTGTTGCTCATCTGAAAAGTCTTTATTTCACCTTTATTTTAAAGGATTTATTCACGGAGAATAGAACTCTAGGTTGACTCTCTTTAAAGATGACACTCCATTGTTTTGATGAGTACTCTGCTGTAGTTCTTATTTTTGTTCTTAATGTGTTTCTCTTTTCTCTGGCTGCTTTCAAGATTTTATCTTTAATTTTCATTGGTTTGACCATGAGGTATCTAGGTGTGTGTGGTTTGTTTTTGGAATTTATCCTGTTTGTTGGATCTGTGGTTTGATATTTTTTTACTATTTCTCAAAAGTTCTTTGTGATTTATTACCTCTTCAAATATGTCCTTTACCCTGTTCTCTCTTGCTTCTACTTTTGGAATTTTTATTACATGTACATTGGATTAGTCATTATAGTCCCACTACTCCTGGATACTCTGTTCTGGTGGTTTCTAGTTTTTTGATATTTCTAGTTACCGCTCTCTGTTCCTCTCTCAATTCAAGAAAAACATTAAAAAACAAAAACAACAAAAAAACTGAGGTAAATAATATTTATGCCTAGGTATGAATATATGCTTTTCAGGCCAGTATGGGAGGTTGAATCAATCTTGCAAAACTTGAGTCAGGTTTGCTTTTTGTTATTGTTACTTGCAGAGTATCACACTCTTCAAATTTCACCAGCAGGAGCTGTGGTTACTTTGTGCCTAGAGTGGATAACAGAATGCCCTGGTGTTCCTGCTTCATCTCCAGCATTCATATATCTCTGCATAACTTAGCCATAGAGGAATTCTCGCTTTATGCTCCTGCCTCCCCCCAGGAGAATACTACTGCTTCTTGTTAGTCTGTGCTAGGTTCATGATAGGATAGTGGGGGTTATTTTAGTCCAGCCTTTGTGCACCGGGGCCTCATAAATGGGCCTTTTGTCAGCATTGCCATCCTCCTCCCCATGTATGTGGTTGGTCTTAAGCAGGAATTTCCTGCTCCTCCAATAGTATCAACGGAGGATGCTAGGCGCCAAATTATCTCCTGCTCCTTCCCCCCAAATGCAGATTTTTGCTTCTAGTTTTCCTCCCAAGATCTTGTCCTTGTCCTGGGAGTGAGAAGGTTTCCTACCCCAGACCTAAGGTAGGGTGGGTTTGCTCCTTCTCCTCCCCCACAAGCAATGCCTGCCCCTGAGAGAAGTTTGCTGACCCTCCATCAACAGCTTATGGTTTGGTTACAGAAGAGAATGACCCAGGGAAACAGATGGGCTTTTATGCCTGTCCCTGGGAGCAATAGTTGGACTGTATATCTACATCTTCCTGGGGGGCTCTCTCCAGTCTCTTGTCCTGCCCTAAATCTTTCTCCTGAGCACCAAAAGGAAGACGATGAAAAAGGCTTATGAGGGAGTACAAACATCCCTTGTGTCTGGGACTCCCAGCTATTGTGAGATGCTAACCCACAATTACCAAGAATGTAAAGTTTTTTCAGATTGCTTTGCAGCTTAAAAGCAGCCACTTCTCTGTGCTCTTCCAAATGTGAAAAAGACATGTGTCCCCTCTCCTTGGAGAGGCTTGTCCCTCTTTAGAATTCAGTTTACTGAATTGTTTTGCAACTCCAGTAATGATACATTTTTAAAAATATATGATTTTTAGATTACAAAGAAGCACCGAACAAGGAAGAAAATACAGTTGTTATCAAGCCAGCTACTGCCTTCACAAACAGATATACTCATCTGGCTACTTGGGGACATCTCAGGAAAGAAGCACTCTGTCTAAAAATAGTCCATCAGAAGGAGAGAGGGAAAATTTATCTAGTTGTCACAGTTTGCTCCAGGGGAGATAACTCCCTATGCTTCAAGATTGTGCCATCTGGCTCAAGCTGCTGGTGAGGCCAGGTCCCATGTCTGTGGGGCATTTAAATTGAGGCGTAAGACTGCCAGTTTCAGGAATAGTAGCAGAAGACACAAAACTACAGGAAAGTAAAAGAACAATCTATAGCAACAGCAGTAGCCAGAGTATTAATTTTGAACCAGTTCCCTGAGGGCCAACTCTCACAGTGACACAGTGCTTATGATACCTAAGTACATGCCAATGTATTAGAGAAGATCCTTCGTTTACAAAGCTGTATCTTTTATGATAGACAAACAGTACATGTGCCTAACTCTTTGCCCTAGAACAGTGGTCGGCAAACTCATTAGTCAACAGAGCCAAATATCAACAGTACAACGATTGAAATTTCTTTTGAGAGCCAACATTTTTAAACTTAAACTATATAGGTAGGTACATTGTTATTAACTTAATTAGAGTACTCCTTAAGCTGGCCTTTGCTGTCCTCAATCTGATTGAGGTACGTTCGCTGAGGTCGACCCCTTCCAACTCTCCCATCCACACTTGTTTCTTATAGAGGAGTGTGGATGGGAGAGTTGGAAGGGGTCGACCTCAGCAAATGTACCTCAAAACAATGTACCTCCCCCGCGCTGTGTCTCCCGTCGCCCGACCGACACCCCCCACTTCTAACGCCACTTCTTCAAAATAGACTCGCCCAGGCCGAAAACTGACTTCTGCCCATGGGCCACGAAGTTTCAATCGCACTGTATGTGCGCGCCCGCATGTGGTATTTTGTGGAAGAGCCACACTCGAGGGGCCAAAGAGCCGCATGTGGCTCGCGAGCCACAGTTTGCCGACCACTGCCCTAGAAGAAGGTATACTAGACGGTAGACAAACCACCTTTAGCTCCAGAGAGAGAGAATGTCTATCTTCCAAGCCTGTTCACTGGACACAATCCTTGAAAAGATCATTTGGAATAAAGGCAGCCAGAGCCTCTGCTTGCAAGATGTACTGAAATGCAAAAGACCCATGGAAAATTGTCTCCCAACAGAAGATAACAAGCCAGAAATTCTAACTATTGGCCTGTAGTGAGAAACTCCTCACCCACACAAGACACCAGTGACACCAAGATAATCTTAAGTCCAAAGTTAGGTTTCATGCCCTCCACCCATATTCCTCAGTATCCCACCCTACTGACTATTGACTATTGATAACAGCATCCTCCCAGGAACAACTGTGCAATACCAAAAGAAACACATACACATATACATGTGTACAATATACATACAAATCCTCTCCTTTTTAATATCTTTGTGGCCTATACATATTATTGTGCACCTTGCTTTTCTGACTTACTGTTTTGCTGATTGTTCTATATGCATACACATAAATTTACTTCATTTAGTAAAAGCAACACAGCATTTCACTATTATGTATCTATACACACAGACATACATCATACTTTACTGAAAAGTAACTTTTAGGTTATTTTCAATCTTGCTATTCAGCATTGTATTACAATGAATAATCCTCTTTGTGTCCACTATCAGTACTATATCTGGAGTATACATTTCTAGAAATAGAATTACTGAATGTGCATGTGCATTTTAAAAATTTCACAGATGGTTCCAGAAGGCTCTCTTAAAAGATTACACTTTAAATTGAGAAGAGCACCCTGCCAGTGTGAGCACTGACCCATGAACCAGGAGGTCACTGTTTGATCCCCAGTCAGGGCACATACCTGGGTTTTGGGCTCAATCCCCAGTAGGGGGCGCACAGGAAGTAGCCGATCAATGGTTCTCGTCATTGATGTTTCTATCTCTATCCCTCTCCCTTCCTCTCTCTGAAATCAATAAAATAAACAAAATGAGAAGAGTATCTGTTTATATCTTCACCAACATAAACTATTATTAAACATTTTAATTATAGGCAATCTGTATGTTGAAAATTGTACTAAATTCTTATTAAAAATTCAATCTCTGTCCTTTTGGGGGAGGGGGGTGAAGAGCGGGACACTTTACCATCACAGACAGCCTGGGGAAGGATGGAATAAAATGGAAGATAGACCTGATCAGTATCCCAGCCTCACTATTTACTGTGTAGTCTTCACTTCTTTATTTGCTCCACAAATATTTGTTGATATTCTGTATTGTGTCAGGCACCAGACTTGGTGTTGGCACATTAAAAAGGACAGATACAGGGTGCTCTGAGCATATATAATAGTGAGTAAAAGCCTGCCCTGTGTGGCTCAGTGGTTGAGTGTCAACCTATGAACCAGGAGGTCTCTCGCAGTTCAATTCCCAGTTAGGGCACATGCCCAGGTCTTTGGCTCAATCCCCAGTAAGAGAACGTGGGAAAAAGCAGGACCCTAAGATACTTCACATGCTATCTCCAAGAGATTAAATGTAAACATAGGTTGAAAGTAAATAGATGGAAAAAGATATACTATGGAAATGTTAAGCATAAGAGAGCTGGAATGGCTATTTAAACATCAAATTAGGACAACTTCAAAATGAATAGCACTGCCCGGCTGGCATGGCTTAGTGGTTGAGCTTCGACCTATGAACCAGGAGGTCAGGGTTCGATTCCGGTCAAGGGCACATGCCGGGTTGTGTGCTCAATCTCCAGTAGGGGGCATGCAGGAGGCAGCCCATCATTGATTCCCTCTCATCACTGATGTTTCTTTTTTTTTTCTTTTTTTTCATCACTGATGTTTCTCTCTCCCTCTCCCTTCCTCTCTGAAATCAATAAAAAAGTATTTTTTTAAAAAATGAATAGCATTACCATAGAAATACTTCATAAGGAAAAAGAATGAACAGATTAGAGATGTAATAATAATATGTGCATGCCTCATAACTAAGCTTTAAAATATACAAATAAAAATTGATGGAACTAAAGGGAGAAACAAAAATCCATTATAAATTGTAGATTTTTAACACCCCTTTCTTTGCAATTAATCAAACAGTTAGACAAAAAAAGACATAAGATCTGAAAAACACCATCAACCACCTTAATCTGAGACATTTATAGAGCACTATGCCCAAGACCTGCAGAAAACTATATTATTTCAAGTGCACATGGTACATGCACCATGATAATTCAAATGCTGAGTCATAAAACAAGTCTCAATAAATTTGGAAGGATTAAAATTACTCAGTAGCCCTAGCTGCTGGGGCTCTGCTGGAGAGTCATCTTGTACACAAAAGGTGACAGAT